CCCTATCCCATGAGAAAAACTAATTCTCTGTCTTTTATACTCCATAACTCCTGTTTCATACCTCTATAGTAAACATTGTGGTATTAGCATTTCACAAACTGGTATTAAGGTACTGTGGTGATACTTGAGGGGAATGGTCATTCTAAATGAAAAACGTGCTCTCCTTAGAGTCATCCAACCCCTACAAGGATTAAGATTTTTGCGAGGCCAATCAGATTGGCCTGGAATTTCCTCTTAAAATAACTAAATCCCAAGTTCTTCCTAGCTCTCCCATGCCAGTAAGCTCCTGGTATGCTGCCCCACTAGCTTACCAGACCTATCTAGTCATGGGTGAACCCCAGCTCTGGCCACAGCAGAGCCTGGTAGGGAAACAGGAAGGAGAACTAGGAGTAGCAAGTGTAGAGAGAAGGGCACGCTGCTTTGGAGGTGCCAAGATGACATTGCTATCAGGAGGAGGAGGTGGTTGGTGGACAATTGGAAATGCAGAGCTGCAGCTAGCTCAGTAGAAGGCAGAAAGTTTAGAAGTCTTCAGGCTAGAGACCATAACTAAATCATGAAATGAACGAGCAGTCCTTGGAAGATTACCTATACTTAAGGTAAAAAAGAAAGGACAAGAGTCTTTTTTAAAAAATTTTTTTATTTAAAAAATTAAAAAGAAGAAGAGAACCAGGAAGAACCCCAGCACTCCCCAAGAGAGGAGTTCCCAGTAGCTGGGAGTGGTCATCAAAGTCAGTTGCAACAATGGAGAATGAGAGAGAAACCACTAAATTTGACAACTGGAATTGGGACCAGTGATAAGTTCAGGGGAGAAAAGAGAATGAAATGAGATTGCAGAGGCTTACCGAGTCAGCAAGTGATTAAGATATGTTCCAGTGAATTTCAGTAATGTGGTAAGGAGAGAGAGGAAACCGTAGTTTGATCTGAAACAATAGCAAGATCAAAAGAAAGACTTCTCTATCATTTCCCCTTCTTTCTTTTCATGAACCTCCTTTCTTCTCTCTCTCTCCCTCCCTTCCTACCTTCTTTCTCCTCTTCCTTCTTCTTGGTGTGGAGAATATATGAATTCTTCTCTAAATTAAATAATTGTAGGTTGAGGGGAGGAATTCAGGGAAGAGAAACAGAGTAATGATATAAAGAGGCAGTAACTGATAACATAAGGCCGTGAAAGGGGCAAGAGCCGGTGGCCAGAGATCTCAACTTCAGAGAGAAATGAACTTTCAAGAAGGGAGGACGGCTTACATAGAAATGCAGGAATGGAGAGAGAGTGAGAGAGAGGGGGAATAATGAGATGTACACATCATGGTGCTTGGATCCATCTCAGCATGCTGTGTACTCACTTCTAGTGAGTGAAGGTGGTGAGCCCAGGCTGAGATTGTTTGGTCCTGGCACCTGGTGGATGCTCAGTAAGTGTTTGTCAGAAGAGGAGGGCTTGGCTAAGAATGATAAGAAACCACCCAGCAATAAACAGAAGGTTTGCTTACCAAGAGTGTGGACTCCATTAACTAAAGTTTTCAAGTAGCTTATTATCATAACATTCTCCTGCTAACACAATCTGGAAACATAAGGGGCCGAAACAGCTGGGAAAGTCTCTGCAGGGTTGGGAATTGACTAGGTGCGCTGGTGGTAGGAAAAAGGATAGAGGGTTGACTATGATCACACAGGACACACTTGAAATATGGAGCCAGAAATGTCAAACCATTGTAGAGATGGCCAAACTAATCAGATCAAAGCCTCCAGTATCCTGTGAGAATCTCCATGCTAGTCACATGAATACGACCTGTAAATCCCAAATGGGATAGCTGTCCCACCTCCAGAATGTGTCCTGCATCTGAAACACTCTTACCCTTATTCACCCTTCATTTGGCTGACTTCTCCTCATCCTTCACACTTCAGTTTGCTCCAACTTTGGCTGACAAGAGGATCGAGTGAGGCAATAGATGTAACCCACTTAGAATAGTGCCTAGCAGAAAGGTTTTACTAACACTCAGTAAATGTCAAGGAAAGAAAAAAAGAAAAAAAAAACCATAATGATATTACTAAAATGAGGGTTCATTTATAAGACATAAACTCTTACTGCTTGAGGCATTGACCCCTCCTTTTTTTGTCCAGAAATTAGTCAGGAAGCCAATCCTGGGAAGCATCCTCATCTGTGCTTGAGTCACACTCTGTTAAAAAGTACAGAGAAAAAGAAATGGTTGTTTATGAATCATAAAAAGTCAGCTTGTGTGTCACGTTAGGAAACACTGTTATATGTAAAATATTTTGAGGCAAACAAAAAAAAACCATTGTTTCATGTGTTCTGTGCTAAAGCAGTGACCTGGAGGCACCTGGGTGGTGCAGATGGTTGAGAACCCGACTCTTGGTTGCGGCTTAGGTCATGATCTCAGGGTCATGGGATCGAGCCCTGAGTAGGTCTCTGCGCTCAGCACGGAGTCTGCTTAAGACTCTCTCTCTGCCGTTCCACACCGCTCTCTCGTGAGCTCTTGCTCTCTCTCTCAAATAAATAATTAAATCTTAAAAAAATAAATAAATAAAGCAGTGACCTGAAAGAATGAATGTTGCTTTTTCACATATATAAGTGGATAAGAAGTATTGATGGCCATGGGAAGAATCATACTTACTGTTTTATAAAAATGTTTCCTGATAAATTCTTAGTCCATTGCTGCCATGCTAATCTTTGAGTATGTTTAAGAAAAGAGAGGAAAATAGAAGTCAGTGGATTAATAAACTATCACTTATTAAGTACCCATTATTTACTTTATACAGTGATAAGCACTGTGTAAAGCAGCTATATGAGTTGGTGTAATTTTGATAACACTATGGTAGATATTATTGGATTCATTTTACCTAGGGGGCTTAGAGATGGTACCCTAGATCATTAATCTAAAAATATACAGAGCTAAAATTTAAAGCCAGGTCAAACTAGGCACTTGACTACTATGCCATGTTTCCTACTGGGAATTAATTATGAAGCCATTAGTATTGAGATACTAATTACAAATAATTTTCCAGTTGGAAAAGATGAAATTTCCTTACATCTATATTATATACTTTGAATATTAGTTTAAAAACTTCATCAGATGATAGATACATTATATGAATTATAATGAAGTACATATATTAAGTTTGGCAATGACTGTATAGATTAATAATCACACTTTGGTAGCTAATGTGTTAAAGATTTTATGGATTTTTGATTTTTTCTTTTTTTGTTAATAAAGTGGAAATAACCCTCAGGAGAAAAGTTAGATATTAGAGGAACATTTGCAAAAACAAACTGAAGGCCACTTCAATGGTGGCTATTTGCAATGACATTCATTAAGCATTAATTTTTAAAACCTGATGGGATATATTTAAATCATAAATGGGGTACACGCTCCTTTCCTTGTCAAATGATACAGACACGAACAGAAAGCTAATAATGTCCTCTCACTCTTCCATCCTTCCCCTTTGAGTAAACAATTTTGGTGTGTATCTTACTACATATTTTCTATATTTATATAAAAATATACAAATATATAAAGAATATATCAGGATAAGTTATATTACCAAATGTTTCACCTTATTCGGCTACTGCATTTTTAAATTTATATATTATGCAGATTTTTCTCTAAGACAGTAATTTAAATCTCAGCCAGAGATCCTCAACCCTTGCAGATTAGCTTGAAAGAAAAAATTGTCAGAGCCCCATTCCCAGAGATTCCAGCTTAATTGACCTGGGTGGAGCCTTGGCATCCAGCTCCCCAGTTGACTGATGTGTACCTAGTTAGAACCACTGATTTAAGCAATCCAAACAGGCTGCAAATACCAGCTGCCTGCTTGAATTGTCCTGGTATGCATCCTCCCAGGAAGGCCTTCCATTGAGATTACAGCATCAGTGCTGATTGGGGAAACTCTGGGAGGCTTTTCTTAAATTTAAAGTCTCCTCAAGAAGGTTGGCTATCAGGTAGAAAATTTGTTTAATCTTAAATCATTTTAGGGACACTCACATGACTGCAAGAAATGCTACCAAGGCCAGCAATTCAGAGGCCACATAAATGACAGTCTGCTCTATGAAGCTGGATTTATTCCCAGAGTTGCTAAACTCTGTAGAGATTTGCCCTTGCCTGCAGAAGGAGGTTTCCAGATTCAGCCATCACAGGAAGCCACACCCAGAACTTGTTTCTCCCCTCTGGGAGACGCACCTTCTTAGTGGGTGCAGGAACTTGTTTGGCCTCTCCAGCCTGGTCTGGGAGAGTTTGCAAGCCTCCCAAGTGGATGCATGAGTTTGCCATGGAGAGCTCTTCACTGTTAGTGAAACATTTGTATGATCCTTTAGTTTCCTTCACTTTTCGATACATATATGAGAAACATTTGAGAAAACATAAGATGTACAAAAGAATTGTGGAGGTTTGGGGATAAAACGATTGGCAGCCAGCGATTAATAGGTTTAGATCTGAATTATTGCCATTATTGGTTCTGTCTTTTCCTAATTCCCTTTCCTTTCTCAAAGCACTTAGTTGGTCAGAAGTTTTGAGAGACCGGATGGGTTGCTGGAATTTATTTTGAAGAAAACAATTTTTTTAAAGCCCTGAGTTTTAAGCTAACAGACCATGGCAGGTATATGAACAGAGCACATTGCACTGAGTGAGGGAAGGGCTGGGGGCGGGGGCGGGGGGGGGGGGGAGTAGGAAAGACCAAAATTGTGGCCTTCTCCATTTCTTTCCCAGTATAAAACGATGATATTAAATGTTTAGATTTGATCCCTTTCCCCTCCAAAAAATAACTGCCAAGCCTTTCAAGGCTAGGTAAGTGGCTGGGGTGGGACTATAAAGGCCCCGGACCACCCGGGTATCTCCACCCGACAGACAGGGAGCCGTGTGCCCAGCCGCCGCTAGGAAGCCGGTCTCCTCCAGGCCCCGCCCCCTACGTCACGGGAGGCGGGGCGGCGGGCGATTGGCTGTTCTCGGAAGCACGGCGGCTCCGGAGCCCGGCCGGGAGGGGAGGAGGAGGAGGAGCTGGTGGTTTGGCTCCGGCTCCGGCAGTGGAGTTTGGGGGCCGTCTTCTGAGAATTGATTCCCATTTCCACCCCCACCCCCGCCTCCGCAAAAGCAAATGGCTGGCGTAGAAGCATAACCCGCCTCCACTCCGGATTTGTGCTTGGTTTTTCTTTTGCACCTTGAGAGTGGCGATCGTCGTGCTGTGATGTGTGCCGAGGGAAGAACTGGTAAGGGTGAACGTGCGAAACCCTTGGACTGTCTTCTGTTTTACTTCTCACCCTTCTCCTCGCTCCCTTCCCCTCTTCCTCTCCCGCTTCCCCAAAAACTGCTTTCAGGTTTGATGAAGTGCCTCAAAAGTAGATGTTAGGGCTGTTGTTGAATTTGGAGGGGAAAAAAAAGGAGAAACACACCATTTTCAGTCACTTGATCTTGATTTCAAAGGAGGAATTATTTTATCTGTTCTTAAAGCTGGGATTTGTGAAAAGATAAATTATGCGCACACACACTTGTCACCTCATTGTGAAATGGAACAGTTTAAGGCAATTTTGGCTTTGTCTCAAAGGAAACGAAGAGGATGAGGGTTGAAGTTTTAGCCCAGTAAATAAACCGGGTTTGTTCCTTAGGAAGGAAAAGGTGCTTGTGTTGGAGTTTGCTCAGAAATAGTTTTTAAAGGAGTGGGGCAGAAAAGCCCGCGTTCTTCCCCGCACACACTAACTTTGCAGAACTTAATAGTTTGGAGCATCCTTCCTCTTACATTATAAAACATAGTCATACTTTACTATGTACAGCAGAGAGACATCAGGTTGGTTAGTGAAACCCTCCAGTTTGGAGGGTCGAGCCTCTGTGCGTTTAACAAGGATCTGTTTAAACTACCCTTAATTATTAAGGGCATGCGAACCCAGCTGTTTAGAATGTTACCTCAGTAAGACCACAAAGTTTCTTCCTGCTTCTTTTCCTGCTAGTTCTTTACAAGGAGAAAACAGTTCTATAGTCTGAGAGCAAGCCTCTGACTCTAATCAGCCTTGAAAGATTGATCCACAAGAATAGGGGCGGCTTATCCACCAACTGATTGCTGTATCAGAAAGCTCCAGAGGAGATAGTAATTTTTATACTGGGCTAGGTCAAATTTCTGTGAAGAGTACCATCATAAAAAAAAAGTCTTTGGCTTGTTAAGAGCAGACACGTGACACTGATCCCTGTAACACCTTAAACTCATTCAGTGCCCCAGTGTGAGCCTGCACTCCAAGCTACCCCAGGAGGTAATGTCTGCTCCTTCTAGACTCTTTTCTAGTCTCATTACAAATACATATTACATACCTACATTGAGATAGTTTGTTTTTATCAAAATGAGATCATACTGCATATATTGAAAAACAACTTGGCAACATTCAACAAGTTTTAGGGAGTTTAAAAAATGACACTAACTGCTAATTTAATGCCTGCCAAATTGTATTAAAAAATGGAGAACCTAAGCAGTCTAAAACAGGATTTCATAGGCGCCTGGGTGGTTCAGTTGGTTAAGCGTCTGTCTTTGGCTGAGGTCATGATCCCCGGTGTCCTGGGATCCAGCCCCATGTCAGGCTCCTTGCTCAACTTGGAATCTGCTTCTCCCTCTCCCTTTGCCCCTCCCCCTGCTCTTGCTCTCTCTCTCTAATAAAATATTTAAAAAAAAAAAAACCCAGGATTTCAGGAAGCTTGACCTTTGCATGGCAAGAACCAAATACTTTTGCAATACAATTACTTAGTGAACCTAAATAGAAATAGAGTAGGATATTTTTTATTTTGATATCAGTAAAATGAAGGAAATGACTCCTTGGTTAGACAAACTTCTTCGAATCACTTTTTTAAAATAAGGTAAAAAATGTTCATATATTGAAGGCTACAGTACATGTTTTAGTTATTGTCTGATCAGAAGTAGTCTTTTTAATAAAGGAAAATCAAAGAAAATGCTAAAAGCAAGATCACTTGAGGATTCCCAAAACCCAACGCATTGGTGAACATAAATTTAATCTCTTGTCAGTGCTTGAAAAAAAAGGAGAATCTGTTCATCAACCCTTGGAGCAATAATGTGCATGCTGGATGCTATCACCATTCTTGGACCATAGTTAGAGCAGCCGAGCAGCTTTCCTTATTTCAGAAGAGGTTTGAAGTGAGCATACGTATTCGTGTAAAGACATTATTCCCTTCCTATTATCTAAGATGGACTTACTTCATTTCAGGAATCATCTTAGCCATAGAAACAACACTTTTCTTGGAACTAGTAGTACTATTAGAGTAAGAAGTAACTGGTACTAGTTTCGTAGAAGAGTTGTGGCCTTCATGAAATCTTTATGCTTCTAAATGAAGGGTATATTCATGTAACGACTTGAGGTAATTATATGGGAAAATGTATTAAAACCTGTACATCTTTGCAGGCTTTGACTGGGTCTAGAAATATATACCAAGGAAGCCGTCTGAATTTTATAGGAAGATTTATAAATATGTTTATTACAGTGTTGTCTGTAATATGGAAAAAAAAAAAACCAGAATAAAGCCCCCAGTAGCAAAATACTTAAATTAATGTACTATATATCTATATTGATAAAATTCACTTGTGAAAATAGTTTTGAAAAAGTTTCGTGATTTAAAAAATCCTTGCAATGTTTTGAGTGAAAAAGCAAAATTTAACACTAAATTATCTTGAATGTGTAAAATATAATTTTGAAATATAAAATACCACTTTCTCAAATATTAAGCCCTTAGTACATGTCAGGCATTTTTCTAAATTAACAAACCTTGAACAACATTGAACAAGACTGTTCTATTTCCTGTTTGCCTACAAGTTCCTGTTTGTATCAATGGATATATTCACTGACATATATGAAAAAGAAACTGGATTTCTAGGTGGTAGAGTTACAGCTTTTTAAAAATATTTTCCCACATATTCCCAAATCTTCTACAACAACTGTTATTTTATAATCACAAAAATACTGTTTTGAAAAATATTGCCAAGAAATGCCAAAACTGAAATTAAAACTCTAAGGTCTACATTTTATATACTGGTAAGCCCTTTCAGAAGATACGATAAAACACAGTGAGACATAAATAGATATCCACATGAAAAATTATGCCCAATGAAAAATAGGCATAAATGGGCAATCACAAAAGAGAAAAATGGGCTTTTTTAAGGTTGGGATGTTTATTTTTTAAGGTTGGATGTTTATTTCCCTGTATTGGGAGAATACTCAGCATAGCAATAAGTTACCACATTTTTACACATCACATTAACTAACATGGAAAGGCAATCAAAATGTGTGAAGTTGTTGGGAAGGAAGACTTTTTCATGATATGGAAAAATCTTTGTGATAGGAATGAAAAGTTATAAATCTTACTTTTGAAAAAAATATCCAATCTATGCACAGAAACTAATTTATTGGTGGAGAATAAACCACATGTTAATGTTACTTATGTGTGGGTGATGGGGTTCTGGGTGATTTCTGTTTTTTCTCATGGTATTAATCTGTAGTTTCTAAAATTTTGACAGTTAAGTATATTTTAGTTATCAGGAAAAACAAGTCACTATCCTAATAAAGCAATTTGTCCTAGAACGAAGAGCACATAGGTGATACTCCCTTTCCCTTCTTGCATAAAGCCTCTGTAGTCTCTGTGTGGGTAGTCCCCTGTCAGATGTAATCATTGTTTCTGGATTATATTTGCTGGTGAGAACATTTGGATTATAAGGGAATCCCAAGATAAAACTTATTCTAGTCACATTCACTCTTCTGCCCCCAGCTGTTTTCTAAAATAATAAGCAGTGTTGGACTGATAAAAGCTTTATTCCTTTTCATTTCCTGTTGATCACATCTGCTTGGGGCCCAAGCCACTAGGCTTTAATTACACACTCCCTAATTTCTTTTTCTAAAATCTACTTACTCCATTCAAGGCCTTTCTGAATGAGGACGAGGAAGGAATATGACTGTATTTAGGTTAGCAAAACAAATTTATAAAATTTCAACTCTTTATATAGGAAAGGTAATAAAATCAGAGTAGCTTCTGAGAAAGAAGGTGAAAATCAGTTTTAAATTATCCAAAAATTTTTGGGTGCCTGGGTGGCTCAGTCAGTTAAGTGCCTGCCTTTGGCTCAGGTGGTGATCCCAGAGTCCCAGGATGGAACCCCATGTCTGTCTGGCTCCCTACTCAGCAGGGAGTCTGCTTCTCCTTCTGCCCCTCATCCCGCTTGTGCTTGTGTGTGTGCTTGCATGCTCTCTCAGATTTTTAAAAAATTATCCAAAAATGTTGTGACCTCTTTTTCTTCAAGTTATTGTTCTCATAATTAGCACTATTTAAAAACATTCTCATTTCCCTTATAGGCTATAACAATACATTGAAGGTTATAGTTAAAAAATCTTAATTTATAGGGGCGCCTGGGTGGCTCAGTCGTTAAGCGTCTGCCTTCGGCTCAGGTCATGATCCCAGGGTCCTGGGATCGAGCCCCGCATCGGGCTCTCTGTTCAGCGGGGAGCCTGCTTCTCCCTCTCCCACTCCCTCTGCTGTGTTCCCTCTCTCGCTGTCTCTCTCTGTCAAATAAATAAATAAAATCTTTAAAAAAAAAATCTTAATTTATAAATCCTTTCTTCACTAAAGTCTTTCCTAAAGAGGTGTTCTCATATTTTTATCACGAAGATTCTCTCTACTTACCTGTGATGTCCTTCAGCTAACAAATCAACATTTCTGCCTTTTGCCAGGTTAGAAAAATGCCTGCTTCTGAACTATTAACCATACTTTTAAGGTTCCTAAACCAGGGACTGAGAGAAAAGTGAAATGTTTTCAATAGGGCAATGGAATTTATTTGTTTGTTTGTTTGTTTATTTATTTTAGAGAGTGAGTGAGCACGGGGGTGGGGGGGAGTGAGTTTGGGGTCGGCAGGGGAATATGTGGAGGGAGAGGGAGAATCTCCAACAGCCTCCTGCTGAGTGTGGAGCCAGAAGTGGGGGGGGGGGGGCTGGATTTCAGAACCCTGAGATCATGACCTGAGCCCAAACCAAGAGTCTGACGCTTAACCTACTGAGCCACCCAGGTACCCCAGGAAAATGGAATTTTAATAATTCTTACTCAGAATCCCATATTGTCTTCCTTCTCTCTCAAATTGTAACATTTCATTTAAGCTAACCTAATGCAAAAGAGCAGGTATTGTGGTCCCCAGTGCCCAATTTGTCACACTTTTGCTTGCTTGATTTGGGTCATGGTT